ACACACACACACACACACACACACACACACACACACACACACACACACGCAAAACCTCCCACACAAAGAGCGAGGCAAAAAAGCCCTCTGAATTCTCTCGTGTCTTCTCAGGTTGGTCCAGGTTTTGGCCTGAAGTGTCCTAGAGAACACCTTGCCCAACAGTCTTGCAACCCAGGATACTAATTCATTTCCTCTGGGAGGTAAGAAATAATAATCCCTTTGCAGGTTATCTCTAACCTTTCAATGCATGACGGGCAGAGAGTATAAATGCTATGGTTAAGGGCCTGGGCCTAGATTCACACTGCTTAAGTTCAAATCCTGGATCTATGGCTTATTGGCTGGCCTCGTACATTTCTTTTGACCTCCTTAAATCTCATTTCATCATTTTCAAGATAGGGATAGCAGGGCCCATACCTCACAATGTTGTTATAAAGATTAAGGGAGGTAATTCATGTAAAGTGCTAAGCACAGAGCCTGGCACAAAGTAAAGGCTCAATAAAATCTATTAATATTATTATTTCAAAGTGGCTTTTTTTTCCTAGAAGACTACAGCAATTTTATGAATTCGGGTTTTCTTTAAAACCTGTATTTGCAACTCAGTCTTTGTGCAGGGGTTCTCAGATCAGCGAAGACTAGAACTAGAAAGACTCTAAGGAGACCATCTAGTGGTCCAACCCCCTCTTTCTGTACAGGAAGGTACAAGAGCTTAACAAGGGTCAGAGCCTGGGCCAGAATGCAGCTTTTATGACTCCCAGGGCAACAGTCCTTCTACTCTTAATATATTATCTAGCATATTAGTGTGTACATAGAAGATGCTTAATAAACATTTATTGAGTTGAACTGACTCTGGTTTTAATAGACTATAAACCTGGCTCAATGTTACCACCAATTTTCCACCTCCATCAGAAGTCAAATGTTAACAGCAGGAGGAAGAATTCAAAGAGGTAAGAGAGAGAGATGTGTGTAGGTAGAAGCATGGCAGAAGGCCCTTGCAAAATCTTTCTTCTTGAGGTCAAGATTTGTAGGTGGGACAGAGAGTAACATGAACCTCCACTGATCAATGTCTCCAGGCCCATGTTCTTGGTCTTGCCAACATCAAACCAACTTGGAACTTGCCCTTACGTAAGTCCAGCCCTAAGAAAAGGCTTTGAGTCGGTCCCACCTCTTTGCTTCTAGCTCTACCTCTACCTCTATCTAGATTATGTTGGAAGATTATTTTAAGAACCACAGCAAGGCCTTGGCATTTCCAAATCTTACTGACAATCAGTGTCAGATATCTGTTTCTGAGATGGTTAACTCAAAGGTGTGGCCAACTGGATCCCAGTTGTACTTTTCTGCACTCTAAAGCAATTAACTCGAACATGTTAATAGGCAACAAAGGTGATTAACCCTGAAGTGTACATGAGCAGTGACATATTGAGTAACAAGAAGAATCCCGTTGCCACCACCACACCATCCTCCTCCACACACACCCATTCCAAGGGAGGAAGAGGGCACGTCATGACATCCCAATTCTTACCTCAGAAAAAGGAAAAGCAGTCCGTGAAATTAGACTGAGCATAACCTGAGAAAACTTTAGGAATATACCTAGAAGATGCCTGCTTTACCAGTTCCCTACCTTCAATGCCATACTACTCACTTTTATTTTTGTTTCTACTTTTACAAGTAATATAAACACAACATGCAAATATTTATAACGAAGAGGAAAAAAAAAATCGCTCAAGGTCCCAGCACCTCAACCTAAACATTGTTATCAATACAGAATATTTCCTTCAGTTGTTTCTATGTGTATTTGTGTTTTTACAAAGCCATGAAATATTGACATATGTACAATTTTGGATCCTACATTTCACTTCCTCATAAGCACTTTCTCCATGGTATAGACTTCATAACAAAACATTGCAATGACTGTGTAATAGTCCGTGACAGGAGTGTATCAAGACTCATTTACCCATTCTCCAATTACTAAGACATTTAAATTGCTTTCAGTTTTGTGCTAGTCTAAATAATGTTACAAAAACACGTTTAAGACTTAGCCCTTTTCGATATTTTGGATTGTTTCCTAATGATAGAATCCCACAAGTGAAATCAATGGGTCAAGGTGCATGAATGTTTTTAGACGGCCCACTAAAAAAATAAAAGTAGCAAAACACCAAAGCCCCATGACATCTCTCCTCCATTTAATGAAGAGTTCTTCTCTCCCCTTTTTCCACCAGGGCAGAGCAGGACTCCTGGGAGGGAAAGAAGCCAAGAGAAGCAGTGTAGTATCCCAGCGACTTGTGAAATGGCAGAGTGGAATGTGGGCTCCCCTGTGAATCCAGCTTGCATGCACTTGCCCCAAATTGCCACCCGGCCAAGAAGCTAATTAGTAAAAGCATCAGGTGGGTGAGAACAGGTTCATGGCCTGTAATGGCTTATATCATGTTTCATTTTTGCCCTTGGAAAGATCTGACAGTCAGCTTGAAGACATTCAGTTCTAGTGACCCAGCATGCTACAGTCTGAGAATTAAATTTGTTAGTTTTCAGATACTAATCTTCCCTATATCTTAAAGGGTATCTTTCTGTAGAGAACTAAGCATACACGACCAGTGAGCCTCTGTTTTCGGCCACAGGTAAGGTGGCACATTTAAGGTCAGCCCTGTTTAATGTTATATGACTAAGTGGCACCTGTCTGAAATGGTCAGTGTGTTATAGACACAGGTTTATTTGCAGACCCAGCCGTAAAAGTCATCCAGTCCTAAGCAGAGAAGGCAACAGGCCAGAGATGCCCTGGCTTAGCAAGAGCGGACCCAACAGGCATTTCTTTCCTGGGCTGCTTAGTCAGAGCCCTCTGAAGAGGCCAGGTCCATATGCCACCTTCCCCTTGAAGGTTTTTCTCTAATCCTCCTCCATCTTCCCTCTGCCCCCAACTCGGCTCAATATGGAAAACTAATCCTCTCTCGTTGGTGTTGCCACTGGACTTTGTACACAGCTCGACTGCAGGACTATCACACACACGATGTAGTTTCCACAAACTTTTATTGAGCGTTTGCTGTAGCCAGGCACTGGCTAGGCCCTAGGGTGGATAAAAAAGAGAAATAAACCACAGTCCAGTCCTCACGAAGCTCCCAGTCGAGCAGAGGGGGGGCAATCCAATGGGAAGCTCTGGCAACGCAGAGGACCCTGCCAAAAACTCTGGGCCCCCTGAGCAAAGCTTCCCGGAGGAAAAGACCAATGAGCTGGATAGGAGACGTCTGATAACCAACTTGATGTTGGGGGAGTCGGAAAGGGAGGAGCCCACGATAGGATGAGACAGATCGTTGGGAGTCATTAGCATACGGATAACAGGTCAGGTCAAAGAGTGGGCTAGAACATATAGGGCGGGAGCAGAACAGAACCAAGGATGAAACTAAGGATGGACCCTCGGAAGAAACCATCATTCAAGGGTCAGGTACTTTGCAAATGTGCAAATGTGGTAGTGAGAGAGAAATTTCTTTATTTGCCCCAGTGCCTTGCCCACCCCGCCCCCCATACCTTCAATCTAGACGTTGGAATACATGCTCCAGGGACAGAAGTCCGCAGTTACAATGCAGAGGGGAAGACAGAAAGAGAGAGAGAGAGAGAGAGAGAGAGAGAGAGAGAGAGAAGTTAATTTTGTCTCCTAAGCTTCTAAGTACCTGAGCCAGAACTGGAAGATCTTAGAGATCACGGGCTGGGTGCATGATTTCCCCCTGTATCCTTCCCAACACCTACAACGTTAACTGGTACCTGAAATACCCAGAAGAAACTGCATATTGCATATTGAGTAAATCACAACTTCCCAAAGACCTTGCTGGAGGCAACAGAAAGAGAAGACAAGGGATGAAAGACATGGAATAGCAAGAACAATAATTCTGTTACCTTTAGTTTCTCAGCTTTTCTTCGAAGGAGACAAAACCTCTTTCACTTCTGTTATCACACTTGTCCTTCTCCACCGCTCTGTGAGGAAATAAAGGCAGATGTGATTGATTCCATTTCACAACTGGAGACGCTTTAAGCCCAGAACAGATAGCTAATGATAACTCATTTGACCAAGGTTTCACCGTGGCTTCCTGGTGGGGCCAGGATCAGAAGCGAGGTCTGGTGACTTCCTGCCCTCTGCAGGGTTACCAGACACAAACCTCTGTGGACCTGACTCTCCATTGTTTAAGAGGACAGTTCACAGGAGAAACTTGTTAGGAACGCGAAATTCTCTCAGGACTCTAACAGTATCTTGAGCAAGCCAGTGCGCTGCCCCCAGGAGAAAAAAACCGAAGACGTTTCCCTGTATCGACACTGGAACGGTGAGATGTAATTTGCAGTGATGCTGCGCTAACATAATTGGGAGCTCCCTGTGCTGCTGTACCCCTTTTGAAGGGAGCCCCATCTGCCTTCAGTCTGGTTTTTGTGTCTGAGTGGGGCTCAGGTGCTGACTGCAGGTGTGGCATCCAGCAGGTGCATGGACGGGAGCCAGAGTTTCATATCTTCATACCAAAGGGCTTGAGTCACTCCCCAAAGGCAGCCCCTCCTCCTCACACTGACTTGCAAGGCCCAGGAACCTGTCTTGACCAAGTTGCCGTTGCAAAACTAAATCTAGACTCTGCCTTCCCAGGAAGGCCTAGGGTAAAATCAGTTAAAGTACAAATCTTATAACCCAGCCAACCTTCCCACTCTCTGAAACTAGTGCAGGCATATGCTGCAGGCATAGCATCAGAGGATATATGTACAGAATGACTGTTCCCTACTAGCTATGGAGAAAAGGAGGACCACAGCAGGCCCATATTATATATTTAGCTAGAGAGTACTTATTTTATTGCAGATGGCCCTGAAACCTCATGTGTAAGTATTCATTCCTCTAAAAAACACAAGAGTACAGTAGAAAGAACGCACTAGGAATCCTGGACTCCAGTTTCCATCATGACCAGTCTCCTCCAGGCCGCCAAGAGACAACCACTTAGCCTAGTCACAAAAAGTACCAGGTCAAAAAAGTCATCATTTTGCCCTCATGGAAGCCCAACTGAGAGCCTGGGGCAGAAAGAACGCTCTTTGGGGATAGAGGGGGTCATCCAAATTTCCTTAGCTGCAAAACTTGTTTGCTTTTAAAAAAACAATCTGCCCCCCACCAAAGAGACACACACACACACACACACACACACACACACACGCGTGCGAGCAAAGAGAAACTAATTGCAGGAAAAAAAAAACCCAAATGTTACCTTAATAAAATGGCTTATTGTCATTTATCGTATTTCTCCAGTTCATATGGAAGACTCAAATTAATAAGCTTTGGTTTACAGCCGGTGATCCCAAAAGTAAAACTGGTTACTAAACTAAAATGTGATCACTGTATATAAATAGAGCGAAACAAAATTCTGAACTGAAAACCTAAATGTAATAAAGAGGAAATTAGACTTCTTCAAAATAGGCTATCTAAATAATTTTCCCCATCTGTGATTTTTATCTTAGTTTGCTGTCACATGGAAAGAAATGCCATTAAGTCAATGCAAATCCTGCCCCTTGAAAACAACCAAAATGAGTAAGTGATGTACTAATTAGCTTCCTAATGGGGAAGGTTTTAATTGAACTATTCTATAACAACCTTCATCAAAGTTTCCAGGGCAACTTCATAAAAGGATGTCAAACCTGGCCCATATTTTTATCCCCTTAAAAATAATTCTCGATGCACAGAAACACAGAAAGCTTATTTCTCTTCAATGCTGTTAACACTCAGGCCACTACATTTTCTGATGTCAGCAATCCCCTTCCCACAAATATTCCAAGTATGCACCACCGTCATTCTCCTTTCAATTATGTGGTTTCTCTGCTCCTTTACTGATTGAGTCCAGGCCTCTCGGATAATGAGAAGCATGTGCAGGGAAAATATGCTCTTAAAAAACACATACATCAGTTTCATCTGCATTATTGGGGGGGGGAGATCATTTGTCCATATCAAAAAGATCAAAATGTGAAGTTTGCTATGGGATATATAAAGGAAAAAAAAGATCGGCACCAATGCCTAAAGTTGGGGGGCAGTTATGGTGATCTGAAGCAACACCGGTGAGAATAAGGGAGACCCCCCAAAATCCACCCTTTCTAGCTTGGCCACATGTATATTTAATGTTATCTTAATGTTGCTTTGGGGGGTATTTGAGTTCTGACATACACATGGAAATGAGCCACGAATTGTACAGCAAGCATAAATATTCCATCATTAATAAAAACCAGCTGTGTATAAAACACTACAACGGCTGGGTTTCAGTGACTGGCTATCATCAGTATGTGTCACAAGCAAATATTACTCAAAACTTTCTCCCTTAAAACACACACACACATTCACATACACAGACACACGCAGAAATTTGTTGTCCTCTTTTTAATCTTTTGGAAGAGCTTTGAAGAACTCACTGATCTCTATGGCACATTTCAACTAATGTCTCTTTTTGAAGCAAATTTTCATTACCCTGGAAGATGCTAGAGTCCTCTTATTAGAACTTCAGCTTACCACATAGAATGAAAATGTTTAATTGTTTTCTAAGAGCCAAGAGGGTCAATAATACACATGTTGGGATGATCAGTTATAGTCAGTAAGGCAGTGGGGCACCAAAGGGCGCTGCAGGGCTATAAGAGAGCAAAGCTCATTAGAAGCAAACACCTGCTCAGGACCTTATAATAAACCTGCTCTGCCATCATGCAAACACCTTTCATCCAATGACCTCGAAGCATGTGTCCAATATGAAGCATGCCTAACCACCTCTGTGAAGTATTAATATCTCTGCTTCCCAGAAGGGTAACTGAAGCTCAGAGCAGCTAATTCATTTATGCTTGGTCACATGGCAAGTCAAAGAGGGTTGGGCACAGAAACCCAGATCCTGGCTTCAAGTCACACAGTCTAATGATATTTCATGGAGTTGGGGCAATAATGAAAGTGACTTTACAAACACCAAGAGCAGCCTATAGCGTTAAAAAAAAAAAAAAAGAGAGAGAGAGATTTTCAAAAACTATCTTCGGAGGTATTAGCAAATATATCCATCTGCATTTTCCCCATGAATACATATCATTAAAAATATACTTAACTTGGAGCTTTCTAAGGACTAAAAACCCATACTTCATTTTCCTATTCTGGTTAAAGAAATTTAATCTAATTTACGATGAGCCACTGGTTTCCAGGAATGAATTCATCCAAAATGGAGATCATATGTATATTATACCTTCTCTTTTTCAAAGGAAAATTAAAAGACCGGGTAACTGAGCTCCCACTGTACAGGGAAGGCCTCAAATGAAGAACCCATTACGTGTGGGTCATCCTGTCACACCTGTATCTTTTTAATTGTCTCAAATCCTTAGTTTCCCTACTATTTTTTAGTCTAATTTCAACATTATTTTCAAAGCCACGAAACAGAACATTTGTGCTTTCCCGCTTTTCCTTTCTCATTGGGGAAATTTTATAGTCTACTCAAATTTGTACTTTCTTGATGGGATATCATGATACAGTGATCTAAGAATCCACTGCTAACGGTTTAGACAAAGTAAACAGTGGAACCTAGTTTTCTTTTTTGCTTAAATAGAATGGGGGAGGGGTAACGGGAGGTCAAGGGAGTGGACTGAACAGCCTTGCTAGATACAGGAACACCCTTAAATCACAGAAAGGTTTAGGGATTACTTACTAAATCTAGAGACTAATTAAATATTAGTCTCTCTTGGCATTCGAGGAACATACATACATGATTCTTCATGCATACTCAGTCAGGTTCTCATTTCATTCTTCCCCACAGGTTTACAAACCTAAGTCTTAGGTGAGCGCTTATTTTAAAAGAAACTTTGTAAATTTCTGTGACCCACCCCCAACTATGTAAAATTCATGTTAAGTACAGAAACAAAGACTTGAAAGGAACTAGGAAAAATGAAAGTGGGTGATCCCTTAGAACGATGGGATTCTTGATGAAGTTTTGGGCAGGATCCTAGCTTTTTAATTTGATATGTTGTTAAAACACAAAACACAATGCATTTATATTGACACATCCTTTTAGGCTTTTTTTTTTTTTTTTTTACATCCAGATTATTACATGATTGTATTTCTAACAATTGTTGCACCTCATTCTAGTAGGAATCATTCACATTCACATCACAAGTAGAGGTCTAGGAAGGGAACCATAAACTTTTGAGAACTGGTTCTCAAAATCACCCTGTCCAACTTCTCACAATTTACAGAGGAGGACCTGCCAAGGGTGGTAAACTAAGTTAGAGGTGGGCCTAGAGCCCAGGTCCCATTCACCAATAGGCTCACTAGGAAAGCTTATTGTAGATTCTTCTACTAAAAGTGGCATTAGTTGCTGTTATTTACCAGAAACAATTTTCTGGATCCTGGGATTATTCAAAAACAATAACTAGAATTAAATTTTGTAAACTATGTGGGGTAGACAGTCCCATACTTAGACTTATCAAAATCTGTGAAGTCTGATTTATTTCCAGAAAGTCATACTAGCTCCCTTCTACAAGTGGTTGTAGGCTGGAGCTAAACGTGGCCAGCATTATTACAAGCCAGAATGATTTAGACAATTAACTCCATCCCATATAACAAAAAGATTTCAAAGGCCAAATAATGGCCTCACTTAATTCAAGCTATAATCATTACAACAAAATTCAAATGTCTTCCTTTATGCAATAAATATGTTTCTGAGAAGCCCCAGTTATAGGGAATTTTTATGTATCAAGTCATAGCTCAAAGGCACGAACAAGGAAAGCTAGTTTTTTCAAAGAAACCTGTAGTGGGTTCTTTTAGAAAGCAAGTGGCCTCCTTATTTTCCTTTTTTTTTTTTTTTTTCAGTTCAGATTTTGTGTGTTGTGTGAGGAAGGGGCAACTTCCCTCCTTTCTCTGGGTTCAAGGGGGTCAGAAGCCGACCATGGAGGAGAGTGGGGCAGGGTGGGCAGCCTGTTTTAATGCCCCCTTAGTTCCTGAGACCAAATTCTAACCTTTGACTTGGGGGTGGGACCCTAGATTTTGGACCAAAGTCCACAAAAGGCAGCAAGAAACGAAGAAGTAAGCAAGACTAAGGACAACACGTCACAGAAAACCACCAACAAAAATTCCTGGGGACAGGAAATCAATGGAGCACAATTCTGAACAAATTGGTTTAGTCCCAAGCTAATTAATTTGTCAAGCAGATCTCCAAACCCACTCAATCCATGGGGGAAAGAGGTGATGTAATAGGAGATTGGGGAACATTTACCCATTTACCATCCTAAAAGGCTCAGCCGCGACCACACACACCTCTCTCCACCCCTTTCAGTGGGTTTTAGCTGCACTTAATGGGTGCAAAGGACAATTTCTTCCAGACAGTCCCTAAGAATAGACTGTTCTCATGCATTCCAAATGCTCAGTCTCCATGGAGGAGGCTACCTGGTCACAAGCATTTCCCAAGAGGGAATATATCCTCTACTTCTCCTCACTGGTAACATCCTCTCCACCCCAACAAAACAAAACAACTTCTAACCATCCTGAGAACTTCGAGGGACTTTTTGGGGGTAAAGGAAAAGAAACCTTAAGAGGGGCGTAGAAGAGTGTGAGAAACTCCTCTTGTCTCCAAATGGAAGAAAGGCCTTAAAAAGCTGGATCAAAGGAAGAAAGGGGGATGGGGGAGACAGGCTGCTTAATTACAAAGACACCCTTTTAAAGAAGGCACAGGCCCTGGGAGAGGGCTCTTAGGATAGGCACAGAAGCAGATGTACCCACTTAGCATTCTGGCACTCAATGGGACCTCAAGGTCACAGCATCCATCCTTCTGCGTTCTCAATAGATGGTTTTTAAGGGCATTCTAGAAAGAGTCTCATTCGCTCTTTACAAAACTTCAGAAAAAGCAACTCCACAAAATGCCTTGGGTATGCGTCTGTCTAATAATTCCTACTTCACAAACCAGAAATGAGCTTTCCAATTTCCAAATCCAAAATAGTATTGAAAAATAATTCTAAAATTTCCTTCTAAAATCTTTTAAAATAGGTAAGCAGATCCACAACTTGCACGTAAAAAGTTACTCTACACACAAGCATGGCCAGAGGTTTTACTGCACATCTAGACTATGAAGTTAGAAAAAGCACTTTCAATTTTACGGAGCCACAGAGTTTTCCAAAGAAAGAAGTATCTTAAAACGAAGTATGATGTAGTGACAGAAAGTGTCTGTAAATGACACCGGATAAACCCATACAGAATAACTGGAACCTGAGTTATCATCTGTAAATAGATGCAACTATTCTACAACCACCTGGCTATTAAAATGTCCCAGGCCAGTTATAAAATGTAGTTTGGTCAGGCCAACTTTTCCCTCCCAGCTGATCTGAAAGATGATAGCCTTTAAAATTGTCGCCCTGGCCGGTTCCTTCTCTCCCTTCCTGCTTTCCTTTCCCCCGTTAAAATCAACCAACACAACTATTTAAAAACAAGTAAATAATTTGTTCCCAAATAAGCAACGGGTTGGTGACATCTTGATAACAGGTCTTTGAGTACCACCACCCTTCTCCTTTTGTCATGCTCGCCCGGTTGGAGATAGGTGGGAGATGGGTGAAAATTTATCCTGCATCCAAAATGGTATTGCAAAGTATTCTTAGCTACTAAATGAGGGTGCTGAGAGGTCTAACCGAGAGGGCTTCACAAAGGCTGGCCCGAGAAAGGGCCTTTCACAAAACCTAGTTCAAGGAGACTTAAATAACCTTAGCCCTCCATTATTGAAGATTATGGTGACTAATTATCTTCCTCTCTGAATAGAAGAGGGTTATATTCAAAAAAAGTTTTAAATGCCTCCCAACTTCTAGTCTTAATGTGGGGGTGGGGGACAGGAGGAGGTTAGGAGAACTACATCAGAAACAACTCTCCAGTTCTTTCTAAAATACATGCTAGAGATTGAAAATGCTGTTTCTCACAAATGTCCCCTTTCCTCTCTCATTTAATTGTATCTAGTCCCTTGCTGCAAATTATTATTACACTACCATTAGTGGCAATTTACCAGACTACAAAGACTGTCACTCTCCCTCTCACTTTTCCGTTTCTTTGTTTTCCTGTATCGATAAAATCCATCTTGCAGCTGAAGCACTAGTATACAGTGACCCAGGCTTGGGACCCTCAAGACACCTGCATGATCCTGCAAAACTGGTCACTAACATCTATAAAGCAGATACTGGGCAATCCCGTCCTCACCACACACACACACACACACACACACACACACACACACACACACACAGAGACACACACACACACACACACACACACACACACACACACACACACCCAAAAGAGTGTAGCATTGTAGATTACTCCCAGACTTTAAGACTTCAAGAATTCACAGCCCCCGGGGGAGGGCAGTGTGAGCCCCCACCCCAACTCTAAGCATTCAGGAGGAACGCATCTAGCAATCTGAGATAAGCGCAGACATTCCTTCTGAGGTAAATGTAGACCTGAAGTTCCCTCACTCCTTTTGTGGTTAATTACCTAGAGACCTACAAGGACCCCAGGAGGCAAGGAAGGAAAAGCACCATCAAGTAGTGGTACCCACTAGCATCTCCGTAGGACGGGAAAGGAGCGCACACTCTTGAACCGATTTAAGTTGCTGCTCATCCCGGAAAACTCACGGCCAGCTGCAAAGAAAGTAGAACACACGGGCATCCCCACACGCATCTAGATCGACTCACTCACGCCGAGGGCACGATCAAGTTCATGCCACCATGGATCCCTGCCCCAGTTCCCCGCGAAAAGTAACCATGCGTCTCCTACCCCTGAAGGCACCGAAGACAAGGTGACGACTCTCTGCTTGCTCAAGTGGCTTCAGTCCCGGGCCGGAGGCCAGGGATGGGCAGGGGGAAGCCCCAACTCCCCGCTGCTCCGCTCCTCGCCGCTCCGTCCGGGCTCTCCTTGGTGGCAGTGGACAGGCAGGATACCGGGCCGGAGGGTGGAGCAGCGGATGGTCGGAGGCAAGACAGACTGGAGGTGGGGGTGGAGGGGGCGGTGAGAACTAAGCGAAGATGAGGCGAAAGAGAGCGGAGATGGAGGAATAAATCAGGGGGTCTACCAGCTTGAGCAGCCAGAAAGCTCCTCGGAAGGAAGGGGCGTGACTGCGATGAAGGCAGCTCCTGGGCAAAGGATGGGAGGTAGGGGAGGGGGACGAATGGGTGGCTTTTCTTCTTGCGGTGAGCGGCTAGGACCGCCCCGGAGCGGGGGGGGGGGGGGGGGGGACTAGAGAGGGGGGCGGAGTAGAGGGCGGGGAACGGAGGGTGGGAGCCGGCCTGGACCCTAAGGGGGGGCCGGGGGGCGGAAGAGAGGCGGGGCCAGGGGGCGGGGAAGTTTCAAACAATTGAACGGCGGGGTCCAGCCACTCTGGCGAAAGCGGGGGGTCCTAGCTCTAGTCCTCCCGCTAACGTGGCTTAACGCGCTCACTGCGGTCCCGAGAGGCTACGCCAGCACTGGCTGGGAGGAAGGAAAGGGTTCTGCAAAGACTACAGTCATAATCTACGACACGAGCGGAGCGGAGTCGCGTGGGAGAGCCCGTGCCGCTCCCCGCCCGACAGCGGGAGGAAGAAACACAAATAATAGAAATGCTGAAAAGCAGCTTCTTGCAAAGCCTGCTCAAAATAATGCAGGAAGGAGCAGCGCTCCTTCTTTTTCCTTCCCCTCTTGCTTCCTATTACCAGCAGGCCCCCACCCAGGTCGCAGCTCTGCGCGACACCCTTCTTTCTTCCTCGGCTCCCCCTAGCCTCCCCCCAGCCTTCCCCCCTCCCCCCCACCCCCGCGTCCCCGCCCCCCTTCCCTTTGGCGGGCCGCGCTGGGGGTGGGGGTGGTGTGGGCGGAGCTTCGCGGAGTCTCCGCCTCTTGGGCGGGCTGGGAGGGCTGGCCTGGGCGGAGCAGGCCGCGAAGAGTAAGTCCCACCCACCAGTCTTTTCCTGCTACCGGTTGGCGAATCCTGGCCCCGGATTCGCTCGCGATTGGTCACTTGCGTCGTCGATCTGATCTTTTTGTCCCACCCGCCCTGAAAATTAATAAAACTGAACAAGAGACTATTGTCTAGCTCTCCGTTCTCCCCCAGCTACTGCTGAGAAGAGAAAGAAGAGACGCTTGGTTTCTCAGTCTCCTGAGAGAGTGCGACTGTGTGTCGGCTGGCTCCCGTACACCTTTGTGGCACTGTCCGGCCCTCTGGGAATAGGTAACTTTTCTTCCCCCGTAATTCATTAGGCCAGGAGGGGGAAAAAGTACGTGAAGTGTCAATGTGGTGTTCACGTTTCCTGAATGCCAAAAAAAAAAAATGATACTGCCTGAGAACACAGAGGGTTGAGAACGGCATCCTGGGACACTGAAACTCTTCCATTTTACATCTGGGGAACAAAAGCACAAAGAAAACAGTGTAGGGACAGCAGAATAACATGGAATTTGGAACGAAAGGAAGAACTCATTTTGGACTGTAGCACTTACCAGCTAGTTGTGCGACTTTTGTTGAGTCACTTAACTTCTCTGAGCCTTGATCTTTCTATCTGTAAATAAAGGCTGTAAGACATTCCCTATTAACTTGACACTGATATATGAAAATAAAATGAATTGTGTCTGAAAACTCTGTAAACCACAGAGCACTCCACACATATATGTCTTCCTCCTTGCATATGTCCCATGGTGGAGAGTCTTGCATGTGTCCAGGAATAAAAAATTTGCTCCTGTGTTTTAAGCATCTACATCCAAGGTGTGTAGGTTTTGTGGCTTTATTTTTAAGGAGTCAACTCTTTTCCTACAGTTTTGAGGGTGGATATGAAGTCAGATCCCTGCAGTTAGAATAATAAATTATCCCTTTTCTAACCAGGGTGGGTGAGATTTCTCTTTTAAACAGTTCTGAAGTGGCGCCACAACCTACATCTATTGTGGTGCTGGTACTGAAAGAGGAAATCATGCTGTGTATCTCTGAAGTGAACTTGAGAAAACAAACATGAGGGAACACTTACCATGGAAATCACCGTTCTCCACAGATCCATATTTCCTAGAAAACGTTACAAGGTGGAAACAAGTCTAATTGTAAAGGTCTCGACAATGCAGAGCTATTATAATGAACTCATGCCAATAAAAAAGTGACATCCAATTCAAGCCCCCACCCCCCACCCCCCCGCCAAAGGGAGCTTTCTGAGAGGCCATGGATCAAGGCACACAAGAGGAAACATGCTCGAAGGAAACACTATCTCACTGTGAAACGGGGTCCCAGAATATAACAGGGTCCAGGAAGAGTAATAGGCTGGTGGCATGCTGTGGGGTAGCCTGGATGTGCAGGGTGCTCTGCTAGGGCTGCTCAAAGGTTCAGAAGCAGGAACAAGTGCAAAATAGATTCTTGGTGTGATTCAGGTTACAGGTGAGGTGAAGTTATTTGGGTGATTTTTAATGGGGAAAGTAAGCTTTTGAGAGTTCAAGACATGGACACCTGGCTTGTGAGGCAAGGGAAGATTATTCCAGCCTTATTTGGAGGGGTGGACAGCCGAGCTAGATTGGGTGGGTATATGCGGCAGACTACTACTGATCACAATGGCAACAGGATCCTTTTTAAAATGAACAACGCTGGTAAAATGGAAAAAGTAACATATGCACATGGTAAAATCAAAACCGTACTGAAAGGAGTAAAAAGTTCCTCTCTGCGACTGTTCTCATAGTCCCTCTCTCCCCTCCTCTCTCTGCCTGTGTACAGTCTTCAAAATATATTATTTACGGGGCGCCTGGGTGGCTCAGTTGGTTAAGCGTCCGCCTTCGGCTCAGGTCATGATCCTGGAGCCTCGGGATCGAGTCCCGCGTCGGGCTCCCTGCTCAGCGGGGACTCTGCTTCTCCCTCTGACCCTCTTGCCTCTCGTGCTCTCTATCTCTCATTCTCTCTCTCTCAAATAAATAAATAAAATCTTTAAATATATATATATATTATTTACGTATAGATGTTCCATTTTGGCATCATCAATCACGGCACACATTGCATTTCTTTACTCAACAGTGTCTCTTACTACTCTTCCATCTCAGGATAACTTCCGTTACTTCATTCTTTTTCATGATAGCTCAGTGTTCCATTGCACAAATGTGCCAAAATTCCTTTATGCATTCCCCTAGAGAGGCCACTGAGGCTAGTTCCCATCTTTTGCCATTACAGAAAATACCGGGAAGCAAGTCCTAGTAGCAAAGGCATGGTGTCTCTTTGTCGGCTGTCTGTCCCAGGCTTTGAAGTTGCCCTCAAAAGACTTTTCTAGCCTGTCTTCCCTACAGCTACAGGGGCCTTCATGCAATGGAAACCCCTAAAACACTTAAATCCTTTAATACCCCCTCCTCAGATCCCGCCTGGGGCATTGCTGTTCTTCTCCAAATGTGACTTTTGATGGAGTAGAGTCAGCAAGAGCTCTGAATTTAATGGTGGATTCAGGCTATGCGTGAGTCACTTCTCAGGCCTGTGGCAAACAACAGGTTTTGTGGTACCTGGGCTTGGCCCAGGTCTTCAAGCGTCTTAGGTGTTCCTTCTCTCCCGCCACACAAGACTTCCTTTTGTTTTTACCCTGAAAACCCTTCAGTTTGTTTAAACTGGGCTTGAATTTAAAGTTATGCTTTGCCAGCTCTACTTAAAAGGAAGGGGGAGGGGGAGGCCAACATCAACAAACATTGATCAAGCTGCTATTATGGACAGGACTGAAAAAACAAAGAGGGATGAGACTTGGCTCCTGCCTTCAAGGGTATATACAGAAAAAGACAACTAACAAGCATATGCTAAGTGCTAAATGAATGGGATTGACAGTAAAAGCTGTGGAAGTTGAGAGCAGGGAGCGAAAACTAGTTCCAGAGAGTGAGTTTATACAGCAAAGTATGCCACACACATTTAACTAATCCCCAGAGCATCCCTGTGTCTTCATATCCTGACTATAAAATATGGAGAGGCCTCTGGGGGATACCAGGAGAATTAACCACTAACTGTAAAACACCTGTGTAAAGACACTGGGTTGCCTAAGTACATTAAGACCCTCTGTATATTCATAATGGATATAATGATCATTTTAAGCTTATAAATAAAGAGCCTCTACACCAAACCACCTGTCCTGTTTGGCCTTTTTTTCCTCTGATAAAATAAAACTCCTCCTTTAACATGCAATAAAAATCAGTGTCTATGCTCTTAAAAAAAAGGGGGGGGGCAACTTAAAAAATCAGTTTCTCCCTTAAAAGAAATTACACTAAGTGAAAGAAGCCAGACACAAAGGGACAAATGTACGGTCCCACTTACATGAGGTGCCTAGAATAGGCAAATTCATAGAGACAGAAAGTAACATAGTGGTGATCAGGGCCCAAGGGGAGGGTGGAATGGGGAGTTACTGTTTAATGACCACAGTTTCTGTTTGGAATGACAAAAAAGTTCTGGAAATAGATTGTGGTGATGGTTGTACAACATTTGGAATGTATTTAATGCCACTGAATTGTATGCTTAAAAATGGCTAAAATGTTAACTTTTATTTTATGTGCATTTTACTGTAATAACATTTTTTTTTAAAGGTAACAACTCTCAGGCTAAGTGTCAGGAGACAAGACTGATGATGGAGGCTACCTTCTTGGCAGCAAAGGGGGCATGTAAAGGGGGCAGCTTGGTTAACACCATGGGAAATGCAGGCCCGGTGTGTCCAGGACTTCTGAAAGAGAAACCAGAAGTGAAATGTTTTAATGTAAAATTTCCTGGTTTTTAATTTTGGCAATTAAGAAATGTTCTAATTTTTAAAAATCTGCCCTTTGCATGACTATTTTGCCCAGCGTACAGGCAAAGTAGGAAGGAGAACGTGGCTTACTGTAATCTATTCCTCAATCCCTGGCTAGGTTCTTCTAGAGGGAAAGACCACAAAACCA